GAGTCAACAGCTACCTCGACAAGCTCAAGTGCGTCTACCTGGGACACACGTGACGGGGCAGGACCCTGAGGGGGGAGGGGGTCTACCTGGGGAGGACCTGGCGCAAGGAAGAGCGGCGGTGGGGGGAGGGGCGCAGTGCGGTAGGGGAAGAGACGGTAGTAAGGCACCGACTCGTCAAAGGTGACGTCCTGGGAGGACAGAATACGGCGCGAGGTGGGGTGGTAGAAATGCCAACCAGGCGTGTCAGGGGGGAAGCCAAGGAAGACGCAGGGAACAGCACGGGGGGATAGCTTGTCCGTAGACAAGTCGCGGACAAACGCCCGAGATCCCCAGACCCGAAACGCAGACGCATCGCCAACCTTCCCCGTCCACCGCAAGAAGGGGGAGGTCTCTGGCAAGGAGACCCGGGGCTGAAGGTTGAGCTGATGCGCTGCGTACTGAACCGCAAACAGCCACAGAAAATGGGGAGCAGCCGCATGGATCATGGACGTACGAGCGACATCCATGACCATGCCAATGCGGCGCTCAGCAATCCCATTTTGCTATGGAGAGGCCGTAAGCATGAAGGTCTGGCGGATGCCCTGTGCACGACAAAAGGCTCCCAAAGGGCAGAGGAAAACTCCCCGCCTCTGTCAGAGTGCAGACGCAGAACAGGAAAGTCCGAGCCGAAACTCTCTCTGAGCTGGAGACGAGCTGCGCGGATCCAGTCGATCAACACCTCAGTGACGTCACCCTTGCTGCGCAAGGGGAACACCGTGGTGTAACGCGAGTAGTCGTCAACCACCAACAGGAAGAAACGCACGTGACCCTGGCCATGGACGCGGGCGGGGCACCACACGTCCATGTGAAGAGTCTGCAGGGGAGCCTCTGTCGAAGGAAACTCGGAGGAGTGAGGGGCGACGCGCTGCCGCCCCTCGACGCAGGGGACGCAGATAGGGGCAGGCCCAGGAGGTAGGGGACGGAGGGACCGGGGGAGACCAGAGACAAGGACACGTGAGGCCATGCCTCAGAGACGAGGCAGGGAGGGGTGACCAAGGCGGTGGTGCCAAAGGGGAGTCTGGTGGGACAGGAGACGACACGAGCAGGGGGCAGGCTCAGGACCAGACCTGGACGCTGCAGCAAACACCTGACTTGACGCAGCTACCTGACCAGACACAGCAACCGAAGGAGACTCAGTAGTCAGTGTGTACAGGCTCGACCCCGGCTGACAGGTAAACGTGGCCAAGTTTCGGCCCGTCCGAGCACACGTACAGTGGGTCACCCGCTGACTCGCAGGCGTGAACTGGTCAACCCCCCGATCCTGTAGATCAGCTCCACTCACCAAGTTCGTAGAGAACGAGGGGAGGTAGAGACCTGACAGGGTGCCAGAGGGGGCTGCCGGACACGGTAAGACAGTGGAGAAGCTAGCAAAGATAGGACCCCTAGAGGGGTCCGCCAGGGAGACCGCAACCGGCCGACTAAGTGGCGTAAGCGTGGTGCGGTCCCGAAAGAAGGAGCGGGAAGCACCCGAGTCAAGGGTGAAGGTGTGTAAGGCCTGAGCCGACATGGTACCTGACAGAGCAGACTCACCAGCACCTGGGGCAGCATACGCACTAGCACCTGGAGCAGCAGACTCACCAGCACCTAGAGCAGCAGCCTCAATGCCCGGGTCAGGCGGAACACACAGGTAACAGTCACCCTCATCACTAGTAGACACAGCATACATGGCAGCAAGAATAGCATCATAGTCAAGATCAAAGATAGCAACCCCCGCCCTAGACAACTCTCCCCAGCGAGGGATCTCAGTGGCATCAGGGAACTGATGACGCCAAGCGTCCGTCAGGCGGCCGGAGCAGCGCTGGGTGGAGTGCGTGCCCCCGCACTGCTCACCAGCGCGGTCGCTTGTACGGAGGACGTAGGTGCAGGGACCAGTACCCCCACCCCGCTGACGCCCAGCGTACCACTCACGAAGCTGATGAGGGGACAGGGTCTCACGACCGCGCTGCTGCTGCTGGCACGGACCACCACCGGAGCCACTCCTCTGCGCAGAGCCACGACCAGCTCCACCGGTGCCTCCGCCGCCTCCGCCACCTCCGCCGCCTCCGCTCCCTCCGCCACCACCGCCGCCTCCTCCGCCTCCACTGCTGCCACCGACATCTCCACCCCCGCCACCACTCCCACCACCACCCCCACCCCCTCCACTGCCTCCACCACCACCTCCGCCGCCCCCACTAGCCCTCCCAGCGCCCTTACCCCCCTTGCCCTTGCCGGTGCGGCGCTTCCCGCTAGGGAGAGACGCAGCGTCGACCGACTCGAAGCCAATGAGGTCGGCCGGAGCAGCAGAAGCAACAGAGGGCAAGAGGGGGGAGGGATAACACCCCTCAAAGACGGGGGTGCGAGGGTCACCACGTGAGGCTCCTACAGCGACTATGCTCTTTTCTGCTGCTAGGAGGCGCTCCTCGAGGAGGTCAACGGTGAGTGTGGTGGGGCAAACTGAGAGGAAGTGGTCCCTGACTAAGCAAGGGAGTCAGGGAGCCGGGTGACTATGTAGTAGAGGGTGATGTACATGGGGGGGGGGGGGGGGGGTTCTTGGTACAGAACTCAGCAGGAAGTGTAGCTCGGTAGCGAGATTCACTAGTGCGAAGGTGCGTAATGAGGTCAGCGACTGTGTGAAAGGCAGCAAGGTCAGGGAACAGGTACGGTAGCATGAGGTGGCTAAGCGCAGCAGTGGCAGGGGAAGAGCAGCGTGCAACTACAGCGTCGTACAAGGTCTTAGCACTCTTGTACTGGCTAAAGTGCGCACGCTCAGTGGTCGGTAAATAGCGACGCATAGCAAGACGGGCAGCAGCATCGCGCGTGGCCCATTGTGAACGGGTAGTGCTGTCAGCAGTAGCAGGCGGGGCAGGAGAGACACCAGAGGTGAGATCGAACAGGGAGAGTCCGTCTGCCCTATCGCACTGTAAGAACAGCTGGAGGTCATCGACCCAGACCTCAAAGTCAACAGCACGACCCTCAGTATCAAAGGTGAGGACACTGGGGGTAGCCATGACTGCAGTGGTCTAGCAGGGAGTAAGCTCACCAGTCCAAGGAGGTAGGGCCGGGGCGCGCCGGAAGGAACAGTGGCGGCTCGGCGGCAGGGCGGCTCGGCGGCTCGGCTGCTGGGCGGCACGGCGGCTCGGCGACTCGGAGATTGGGCGGCTCGGCTGCTGGGCGGCTCGGTTACTGGGCGGCGCGGCGGCTCGGCGGCTCGGCTGCTGGGCGGCTCGGCGGCTCGGCTGTCGGGCGCCTCGGCTGCTCAGCTGCTGGCGGCGTGGTGGCTCGGCTGCTCAGCTGCTGGGCGGCTCAGCGGTGAAGGGGCAGGTAGAGGCGGCGACGGGGCCGTGAAGAGCGGCGACGGGGTCGCTAGGGGCGGCGACGGGGCCGTGAAGAGCGGCGACGGGGCCGCTAGTGGCGGCTACGGGGCCGCTAGGGTCGGCGACGGGGCTGTTAGGGCGGCGACGGGGCCGCTAAGGGCGGCGAGGTGGCCGCAAAGGGCGGCGACGGGGCCTCCAGGGGCGGCGACGGGCCCGCTAGGGGCGGCGACCGGGTCGCAGAGGGGCCGTAAGGGGCCTAGAGGAGGCGACGACGGGGCCTCAAGGGGCGGTTACGGGGCCGCAAGGGGCGGCGACGGGGCCGCGAAGGGCCTGGAGAGGCGGCGACGGGGCCTAGAGAGGCGGCGATGGGGCCGCGAAGGGGCCGCGAGGGGCCTAGAGGGGCGGCGACGGGGCCGCGAAGGGGGGCCGCGAGGGGCCTAGAGGGGCGGCGACGGGGCCGCTAGGGGCGGCAACGGGGCCGCAAAGGGGCCGCGACGGGCCTAGAGGGGCGACGACGGGGCCGTGAGAGGGGCCGCGAGGGGCCGCGAGGGGCCGCGAAAGGGGCCGCTAAGGGCCTGAGGAGGGCGCGACGGGCCGCTAAGGGCCAGGGACGCGACGAGAGGGAGGGCACACGGGGCGCGACTCGGGTAGGAGGGAAGCGCGCTTCGGGCAGGAAAAAAAAATTCAGTGGTGGGCCCTAGGAAACGTTCCCACTAGGGAACCTGCTCTATACCATGTGAGAAATGAGGAATGATTGCATTGAGGAGCATGAGGAGTACAAGTAAGAAACCCTTAAGTGTTGTACCACATATGAGCTACCCCACTACAGCCTACACAGACTATAGCATATAAGTTTGACATGCCAAGTCCGAAGGCGACTTGGGTCAGCTTCGGGAGGCGATGTCTTTCGAAATGTTGGAGTCGTACTGTGGTTGTGTGATTCAATAAGGTTTGTGCCGATTTCTCTACAGATAAATTATACACGTAGCAAGTGTACAGCTTTTGGCGTGATGCAATTGTCGGCGGCTTGATTTGACGCGAAGACGACCTTCTGATTGGCCTGACTGGTTCGGCTCGTGAGACCAGACCTCGAATACCAAACCAGGAACGCTTACAAATCACGACGAACTTCTCCAGCCTTGGGAGCCCCACGGGCCTCGAGAGTTCATCGAGCTTGGAAAGCCTCGGGACCTGATAGAGCCTCGGGAACTCATTGAGCCTGCTGTGGTGCTCGTCATCGTGGCGCAGAAGGCAGCAATATCAAGAACGGCCTGCTTTGGAGGGCGTCGCTGCGGGGATCATTGGATGAGGACAGGGAGGTCAGGGAGGCAAGGTCAAAGGACTGACCAACTATGGCTACTACGTACGTTGTCCTCTGCTTTTCACAACCTTGTGCCGTGCTCTGGTGGGTCAGGGACACAGGGCACTAGCAGGAGAGAGCTTGCGGGGTGGAGAAGCGGGTTCGAGCCAAAGAACCTTGCAGACTGGGCAGGGACATGGCAAGAAGCACAGCAACTCCCACCTGTTCTTTCGCCCAGGAGTTTTGACCGAAAGACGCTGACTCTTGAGAGGTCAGAATAGTTTCTTGATTTCTGTGCCGCTAACCAGTTCAAGCTCGTGCCAGTGGCGCGATTACCGTACGACTCAGAAAATGTCTGCGCGGCCGCCATGGCGCGACACACCGCGTGGAGAACCCGCCGACGCCGCATTGCAGTCTCTCCCATCCGCGGCTTCGTTCGGCGCCTCGTATTCTCCCTCATCCTCGCCGCTCTCCTCCTCTGCGCGGCCCTGCCCCGCTGCGTGCTCGCCTGTGACTCGATCCAACCCGAGCCTTTTCCCTCGCTCGCCGCTCACCTTTCCGCCCCGCCATCGCCGATTAACCGCGGCGCGGAGTTTCGGGAGTTGCATGCGACACGTGTCGCCGACGGTGGGTGCCGGGGCGACGAGAGCGAGCAGAGAGATAGCGAGCGGCGAGCTACACGACATGGCGCATCGTTGCTGCTTCTGCTGGCGGGGCAGGAAGGGCTGGGGCAGGAAGAAACGAGCGACGGGGGTTGGACGGACGGCGCGCGGGCAAGAATGGGAGACGCAGCGGTATCAGCGGCAGAGGAGTCAGCTGCAGCGGCGGCAGTGCCCGTTCCAGCGGAGCCGTCAACGGCGCACTGTTACTGCCCTAGCGACGACTGGGACGACACTGGCGACGACTGGCACGACACGCTCGACGACTGGCAGCACAGCGCGGAGGCATGGGCCGCGGAGGACGCGCGTGGGGCGAGGATGGGAGAGACGGGCAGCGGCAGCGATGCGGGCGCCGTAACGCGAGGCGAGGGCGGCGATGCATGGCCGGCAGCAGGGGCGCTACGGCTGCCTAGCGATAGCGCGCGGCCGCTCGACGTGCGGATGGTGGTCGAGGCGGGCAGCGGGCATGGCAGCGACAGCAACGTGGGTGGGGAACGGCGCAGCGACGGGCTAGACAGGGGGGGTCTGCACCCGCGTCAAGGGGTGGGTGAACCGGAGACGGCAGGAGCGATGGCAGTGTGCGACGGAATGCGCGGGTGTGCGGCCGGAGCGGAACACGCAGTGGGCTTGCTCTTACCCACGTCGCAGGTCACGCCCCCCGAGACCGTACACTCAGAGCGCCCTCATGCGCATTTACTCACTGCGCATTCCGAAAAGGCCTCCGCGCTTATTCACAGCGTCGCCTCTCCAGCCCTCCCCGCGTACAACATTCTAACGGCGCCGCCGGCCAGTGCGCGCGTCAGCGGGAAAGGGATGAGGAAGCGGGTGAGGAGCGAGCAGCGGCGCCTGCTCGCGCTATACGCGCGCCATATGTCTGGACCTGGCCGCTGGGTCGGGCCCCTCCCAGACGTCCCGAATGGCGGGTCCTGGGTCTTTGCGCCGCTGCGCTCCCCCCTGCACGTGCGCTCCTTGGCGCAGATCCCCCGCAGCTTCCCCCTGTTCGACGCGGAAGCCGCCTGCCGTTTGTCTCTCGTGGTCAGCGACGCGGATTCCTTCCGCCGATGGCTGCCCGAATCGCCGCCGAACGCCACTGGCGCAACCACCTTGGCGGAGGACGAGCAGCCGCGGCGTTCAGGTGCGAGCGCGCTTTCCGCTTCCCCCGCGCCTCCTGCGCCTCACGCGCCCGCGCAGCCACCTGAGGCGCAGACAGTGGGCGGAAGGCGGAGCGACGCTGCGCCGCTGGTAGTGCTGAGCACGAGCAGTTTCTCCACTGGCGCAGGCGCGGGGGGGATTGCGGGAAAGCAGGGCACCGTGGTGCAGCTGTGGGCGGAGAGGGACGACCACGAGGGGGGAGGGCAGGCGGACCTGGGGCTTGAACTGGGGTTGAGACTGGGGCTGGGGCTGGGGTCGGGGGGGGAAGGGCAGCGCGCGGAGCAAGGGGCGGAGGCGGGTGCTTGGAGGGCGGAGAGCGGGAAGAGGAGGAGCTTGCTGGCAGCTGACGTGTGCAGAGGCTTGGGGGGCTGGCGGGACCAGGGGGATGAGGAGGCGAGTGGAGGGCTGGTAGGGTCTGGGGATGGGGAGGTTTTGGGAAGAAAGAGCGGGGCGGAAGGCGGGGGGGCGGATGCGGGCGTGGGCAGTGAGGGGCGGGAGTGGGTGTTGCGGTGGACGATGTGGAATGTGCATGGCACGGATCATGCCAAGGATGAGTGGGCGCCGGGGGACGGACTGCCCGCAGATTGGCCGGTGCTGGAGGCAGGCGAGGCAGCGAGGCTGGATGCACTGATTGCGACGCAGCTGGGGGGGGGAGGAGCGGGAGGGGGAGAGGAAAGAGGAGCGGGAGGGGAACGGAGACAGTTGAAGGATGTGCATGAGGGCGAGATGGAGATAGCGAGTGAGTTCAAGGCTGGGGTTGACACGGAGAGGGGTAGGCGGCTCATGGAGGGAGTGCCAAGGGTGTCCTTGCATGCCAATGCGCAAGGGGCAGGCCCACAGGCCGGCGAGCTAGTCTCCTCCTCTGATATGCACACAGACACTGGTGCCATGGTGACGACTCATCGCACACCACCACCTGGTACCACTCTGCAAACCACCCCGCCGCGGACCAGCCAGCGGTCACTCGACGTGGAGGTGGCCAAGGAGGAGATTGAGGCGGCGATCGCAGCAGCACTGGCGGCGGCGCACCAGCAGCGCGTGCTGCTGGCGCTCAACATCTTTGCGCCCGTGGTGCGCGTGGTCGCCCCCCACATGCCCCCTATCACCCTTGTAGAGCGCCTCGCCAAGGCGCGCTCGTTGCACCCGCTGCTCGCGCATTTGCTCCGCCTAGACGTGCACATTCATGAAGTGGAGCTGGTGGTGCGCACGGAACCCGCGCCTCCGCCTCCGCCCGCGAGCGGAGTGCGCGGGAGCAACCTGTCCGCGCTCACGCGGGGGCATTTTGATGTGTGGAGCGCGGGGAGCGGGAAGCAGCTGGCGTCAGGGAAGGTGCTGCAGCAGTGGGACGCGTATGACGTAGTGAATGTGACTTCTGGGGACGTGGGGCGCGACTGGCGCTTCTCCTCCCTTGCGTACAATTTCGAACCTGTTAAGCCTCCGCGCCCACCGCCTCCGCCCTCCCCGCCCGCCCCCCCTCCGCCCCCGTCCCCTCCGCCATTTCCCCCGCCCGCGCCCTCGCCCCCACCGCCGTCCCCTCCGCCTCCCGCCCCTCCGCCCCCTCCTTCGCCTCCGCCTTCGCCTCCGCCGCCCAGCCCGCCTCCCCAGCCGCCGCCCCCTAGCCCCCCGCCTTCTCCTCCTCCTCCGCCCCAGCCCCCACCATCACCCCCACCGTCTCCGCCACCCTCGCCCCCACCAAACCCTCCGCCCCCACCACCGCCCCCCTCTCCTCCTCCTCCTTCTCCCCCTCCCTCGCCGCCTCCCCCTTTTCCGCCTCCTCCTTCCCCTCCGCCCAGCCCTCCTCCCTCCCCGCCCCCACCTTCGCCCCCCCCTCCGCCGTCTCCACCGCCCCCGTTTCCTCCTCCGTCACCTCCCCCGCCCTCACCTCCTCCCCCTAGCCCTCCTCACCCACCTCCCTCCCCTCCCCCAACTCCCCCGTCCCCTCCACCGTCCCCCCCTCCCTCACCTCCTCCCTCACCTCCTCCCTCTCCCCCTCCACCGTCCCCTCCCCCTCCTCGCCCTCCTTCCCCGCCTCCTCACCCACCACCCCCAAACCCTCCCCCTTCTCCACCCCCGCCGTCCCCCCCTCCACCGTCCCCTCCGCCGCCCCCTTCCCCCCCTCCCCCACTCGCGCCACTCTCCCCCGCCGACGCGCGCCTGGGAATCATCCAATCCCTGGGCGAGTGGCAGAGGGCAATAGCAGCGCAGCACCTCACGGCAGCAGCCGAAATCTTCTCCCCCACATGCCTCCTCCTCACGCCCACCCTCCCGCTCCTCACCCTCGCCTCCCTCTCCGACCGTCTGTCAGCACTGCAGCTGCTACCACCAGGGTGCGGCACAGAGCAGCTATTCGCAGCAGTGCTGGCGGTGGGGGTGTTTAACAGGGTGGGGGATGACAGCGACCCAGGTGGGGCGTATTTGGTGCTCAGCACGGGCGTGTTCAGCTTCTCTGCGCCTGACGGCGCTGTGCTGGAGTCTGCTAATGCTGTGGCGCTCTGGGAAGTGAGGGACAGGGCGCGGGAGGCGCAGGGGTATGGCTGGGGCAGCGACAGGGGTAGTGGTAGGAGTTGGGGTGCGGCGGGGAATATGGCGGAAGGGAAGGTGGTGGGAGCGGGTGGGATAAGAATGTCGAGTGGTGGGGGAGGAGGGTTGTCGGATGGGTTATCAGTTGGGGTATCGGATGGGGGGGATGGCATGCACCAGGCAGCGCACATAAGGCAGCTGTTTCAAGAAGAGGTGAACCGTCGGCGGCTGCAGGAGCAGTGGCAGGGGCAGCAGCAGGGGCAGCAGAAGCACCAGCAGCAGCAGCAGGGGCAGCAGAAGCACCAGCAGCAGCAGCAGGGGCAGCAGAAGCAGCAGCAGCAGCAGCAACAGCAGTGGTGGCAGCCCCAGGAGGCGAGTCAGAACGGCCAGCTATGGTCTGCGCGAGTGGTGGTGTGGAACTCGAGGCTCTCAGCCTTCCCCCCTGGCCGTGGGCAAGGCACGGGCATTGAAGACGCACTTAACCTGCTCTGGCTCCTCCCGCCCCTCCCACCCTCCCCTCCCCTCTCTGCCTCCGCCCGGCCTCTCCTCTCCCTCTCACCTGCACGTTCTGGGCCTCTTCCCTTGATCACACTCCAGACGCCTCTTGCACCAGCAGTGGCAGCACCACCTATCCCTGCTGCGGCCTCCCTTGAAGCACGCGCACAGCCACAGCCTGTGCTTCCACTGGTGCTTCCGCAGGTGGCGCCGGTGGGAGGTGCAGGGCTGTCGGGTCAGGCAGTGGGAAAGGGCGTGGTGCTGCAAGGGGCATCGGGGGGAGGATATGCAGAGGCGCCGGAAGAGCAGGGGGTATGGACACAGGCACACGGGCTGGTGGGCAGGGAGGAGGGGTCGAGGGGGGTGTTGATGCTGGTGGGGGACAAGCACCATGCAGAGGGGATGGGTGTGAGGAGACGCGTGCAGCTGGAAATGGGCGTGGCGGGGCAGGGAGAGTTGGGGGGAGGGGTGGGGGTACGGGTGGAGGAAGGAGGAAGGGATGGAGGGCACGGGGCGTGGGGGCGGGGCAGGGGGCGCGGGGGGTTGCTGATAGAGCAGGTGGATGGCGTGTGCTGGGTGCAGGCACAGCAGCGGGGCGCGCAGGGAGAGGCGCAGCAGCAGGGGCGAGGGGAGGCGATGGGGGTGGAGTGGTGGGGGAGGGGAGCAGGTGGGAGGGCAGGGTGGGAAAGGTGGGAGAGGTGGGTGCGGTGGGTGATGCGGGCAGTGGCACGGGTGGTGGTGGGGGGCGTGGTGTGGTGGCAGCAGGCTCAGGAGATGCTTCCCGTGCTTGGATCCTTGCAGTATGAGAGTGGCGTGCAGAGGCTGGGATCGGGAGGAAGGGGGTGTGGAGCAGGGGAGGGGTGTGGGAGCATTGACGGTAGCAGTGATGGGGTGATGCAGCAGAGTGTGAGGGAGCAGAGTGGAGGTATGCAGCAGCACGGGCATAGGTTAAAGGCACTGCTGCTCATCGTGCCATTTGCAGGGCTAGGGGCGATCAGTCGCAGCAGGAAGGATGCTGGTTTGGAAACAGTGCTTGGCACAGGACACTCAGGCGTCATGCATGCAAGCACCAGCAGGCTTCACAGTGCTGCTCCTGAAGGCGATGCCACACCCCCATGGCCCCTCGTGCATGACGCAGCAGGTACCGCTGCTGTCTCTCTCCCCGCTGCTCCCTTCCCCACCTCTCCCCCACTGTCTCCCCACACCAAGTTACTGTCTCCCCACACCAAGTTACCGTCTCCCCCGACCGCCCCGCGCTCGCCACTCGAAGCCAACGCATCGGCCATCAGGGGGGAGATCGCTGTCTCGCTGCGCTGCTGGCGGCAGCACGTGGAGGCGAGGGATGAGCAGCGTGCTGCTGCCATCTTTGCCCCAGTCACCTCCCTTACCGCCCCCGGCCACGACCCCCTACTACTCCCAGACCTGCCCTCCAAAATCATTGCCATGAAGCCCTTCTTGGAGGGGCGAGCGGTGGTGCGAGTGCGGTTGGGCGCGGTTCAGGTGGTGAAGCGGGGCGTGCAGCCGGGGCAGGTGGTGGCAGTGGTGGCGCAGGGGGAGTTTGAGGTGAGCTGGCGCGGAGAAGCGGAGCGGGAGTGGAGATTACCAGGCAAGGGAGTGATGCTGTGGGAACCCAGAGAGGCACCGGCTGTGGCAGCGTGGCTGGATGGAGAGACGCCGTGGAACGGGAAGATGGCTGGTGATGCTGCTGGGGGCGATTATGACTTGGGTGGGAAGGGTGGTTGGGGTGTGGGGACACGGCGCGAGGGTGAGTGTGGAGGGGAGGCGAGGCAGTGGATGGTGCGCATGGCCATCTGGAACTATGACTATCACGCCCCTCCGCCCACTGCTCCCTCACCTCCTCCCCCACCCCCCAACTTGCCGCCTCCCAACCCTCCGCCATCCTCCCCTTCACCCCCTTTCCTTTTCCCTCCGCCCCCTTCTCCCCCTCCCCTTTCTCCCCCTCCCCCTTCCCCCTCTCCACCTTCTCCTCCCCCTGTTCCGCCTCCCCCAGCTCCGCCTCCCCCTTTTCCTCCTCCCCCTTTTCCCCCTCCCCCGTCTCCCCCTCCCCCTTCTCCCCCTCCCCCTTCTCCCCCTCCCCCTTTTCCCCCTCCCCCTTTTCCCCCTCCCCCTTCGCCCCCTCCGCCTCCCCCTTCTCCTCCTCCCCCTCCACCACCCTCCCCTCCCCCAACTTCTCCGCCCCCACCATCCCCTCAACCCCAGCCCCCATCCCCGCCGTCTCCCAATCCACCCTACGCCCCTCCCCCGCCCACTCACCCTCCTCCATCTCCTCCTCCTCCCCCCTCTCCCTTGCCCCCCTATCCTCCCCCCCCATCCCTCCCTCCTCCATCCCCCCCACCATCTCCTCCTCCCCCCTCTCCACCTCCTTTACCTCCCCCTCCCCTTCCCCCGTCTCCTCCCCCTCTCTTTCCTCCTCCACCCTCTCCACCCCCGTCTCCCCCTCCCCCCTCTCCCCCTCCTCCTCCATCTCCCCCACCTTCTCCCCCTCCTCCCTCTCCTCCATCTCCCCCCCCTTCTCCTCCTCCCCCCTCTCCCCCCCCACCTCCATCTCCCCCCCCGTCTCCCCCTCCCCCCTCTCCCCCTCCTCCTCCATCTCCCCCACCTTCTCCCCCTCCTCCCTCTCCTCCATCTCCCCCCCCTTCTCCCCCTCCCCTCTCTCCCCCCCCACCTCCATCTCCCCCTCCCCCCTCTCCCCCCCCTCCATCTCCCCCACCCCCATCTCCTTCTCTCCCCTCTCCTCCTCCTCCTTCTCTTCCCCCTTCCATACCCCCTCCTCCCTCTCCTTTCCCACCACCTCCTCCCTCTCCTTTCCCGCCACATCCTCCCTCTCCTCCTCCTCCCTCTCCTCCTCCTCCCTCTCCTCCTCCTCCCTCTCCTCCTCCTCCCTCCCCTCCTCCCTCTCCTCCTCCTCCCTCTCCCCCTCCTCCCTACCCTCCTCCTCCCTCTCCCCCTCCTCCCTCACCTCCTCCTTCTCCTCCTCCTCCCTCTACTCCCTCTCCCCCTCCTCCTTCTCCCCCTCCTCCCTCACCTCCTCCTCCTTCTCCTCCCTCTCCTCCTCCCTCTCCCCCTCCTCCCTCTCCTCCTCCTCCTCCCCCTCCTCCCTCTCCCCCTCCTCCCTATCCTCCTCCTCCCTCTCCTCCCCTGCCTTCTCCTCCACCCTCACCCCCTCCCCCCTGCCCCCCCTGTCCCCCCCCCAGGCGCAGGCCTCCTCCTCCTCGTCCCCCGTTCCCCCCCCCTCTCCCTCCCGCACGTCTCCCTCCACCCCCTTCCCCTGTAGTTCCAACTTCTCCCCCACCCTCACCTCCTCGCCCCTCGCCACCTCCTCCCTCTCCTCCTCCCTTTCCTCCTCCCTTTCCTCCTCCCTCCCCTCCTCCTTCTCCCCCTCCAAATCCCCCTCCCTCCCCCCCTCCCTCTCCCCCTCCCTCTCCCCCTCCTACTCCTCCTCCCTCTCCTCCTCCATCTCCTCCTCCCTCTCCACCTCCCTCTCCTCCTCCCTCTCCTCCTCCATCTCCCCCACCTCCTTCCCCTCCTCCTCCCTCCCCTCCTCCTTCTCCCCCTCCCTCACCTCCTCCCTCTCCCCCTCCCTCCCCTCCTCCCTCTCCTCCTCCATCCCCCCCACCCCCTTCCCCTCCTCCTCCCTCCCCTCCCCCCTCTCCTCCTCCTTCTCCTCCTCCCTCTCCTCCTCCCTCTCCTCCTCCCTCTCCTCCTCCCTCTCCTCCTCCCTCTCCTCCTCCCTCTCCTCCTCCCTCTCCTCCTCCATCTCCCCCACCTCCTTACCCTCCTCCTCCCTCCCCTCCTCCCTCTCCCCCTCCCTCTCCTCCTCCCTCTCCCCCTCCCTCCCCTCCTCCCTCTCCTCCTCCATCCCCCCCACCCCCTTCCCCTCCTCCTCCCTCCCCTCCCCCCTCTCCTCCTCCCTCCCCTCCTCCCTCCCCTCCTCCCTCACCCCCTCCCTCTCCCCCTCCTTCTCCTCCTCCCTCCCCTCCTCCCTCTCCTCCTCCCTCTCCTCCTCCCTCTCCTCCCCCCTCCCCTCCTCCCTCCCCTCCTCCCTCCCCTCCTCCCTCCCCTCCTCCCTCACCCCCTCCCTCTCCCCCTCCTTCTCCTCCTCCCTCCCCTCCTCCCTCTCCTCCTCCCTCTCCTCCTCCCTCCCCTCCCCCCTCCCCTCCTCCCTCCCCTCCTCCCTCCCCTCCTCCTTCTCCCCCTCCCTCCCCTCCTCCCTCCCCTCCTCCTTCCCCTCCTCCCTCTCCCCCTCCTTCCCCTCCTCCTTCTCCTCCTCCCTCCCCCCCTCCCTCCCCCCCTCCATCTCCCCCACCTCCTTCCCCTCCTCCTCCTTCTCCTCCCCCACCATCACCACCACCTCCTCCATCCCCCCCTCCGCCTTCCCCTCCTCCCCGTCCTCCCCCATCCCCCCCTCCTCCCCATCCCCCCCCTTCTCCTCCCCCACCATTCCCTCCTCCATCCCCGCCTCCACCTCACCCACCTCCCCCTTCTCCCCCTCCCCCCCCCCCCCCCCTTCCCCCCCGCCTCTCCCCCCTTATGGCTGGTGGTGCGCCCTCTGGCCCTGGACCTGTCTGGCTCCCCCCCTCCCTCCCTACACCGCCCCTTCTCCTCCCCCACCCCACATCCCTTCCCCTAGCCCTCCTTTCCCCCCACCCCGCCCCTCTGGTCCCCCTCCCCCACCAGACCCCTGTCGCCCCCCACCCCCTCCCCCTCCTGATGGGGGGGACGAGCCTGCTGCCTGGTGGTGTGCCCTCTGGCCCTGGCGCTGCATGCCCCCACCACCCTCCCCTGCCCTCCCCTCTCCTCCTCAACCTCCATCCCCTCCTTTCCCCCACCCTTGCTCACCCCCCCCTCACTTCCCCTCTCCGCCACACCCCCCTCCTTCCCCAAACCCCCCTCCCCCGCACCCTCGCCTTCCCCCTGCCCCGCCCCCCCCTCCCATGCCCCCAAAGCCCCCACCTCCGCCATCGCCGTCCCCCCCGCCCCCTCTTCCCCCGTGGCAATGCTCTCTGTACCCCTGGTTACCGGAATGCAAGCTGGGGCAAAGGCGCTCTGTGGATGGTATGGGGCAGGTGCAGACAGGAGGAGCAGAGGAAGGGGCGGGGGAGAACATTCTCGGCGTGGTTTCACCTCACGCAGAGAGCCAGGTTGTGCTCCAGGTGCCTTACTCCCCTGCTGCTGGTGCAAGCAGGCCAAGCAGGATCAGCAGTAGTAAAAGCATGGATGCACCAAATCTGCTGCTGCAGCAGGTGGCAGCACCTGTTGAGTCAGGACAACTGTCGAGCGGGGTTAAGAGGGCTCATTTGGGAGCCGAACGGCTTAGGAGCAGGGGAGGAGAGCAGGTGGAGTGGGTAATGCAGGAGGGCGTGGAGGGTGAGAGAGCGCACCCTTCAGGCCATGGCTTGAGCTCTGAGGCCGATGAGATGGTGGTCTGTGGTGAGAGGACAGGGGCGGACTCAGGGAAGGCATGTGGTGAAAGTGAGAAGTTAAGCCCATTGCGGAGTGCTGCTGCACAAGGGTACATGGGGAAGGAGGTGTTGCTGCTGCCGAGCCAGAAATTCAAGGTGCAGGAGGCAAGTGCGGCAGCAGGTGGTGGGTCTATTGCAGGTTTAGATGTGGGGAAGCGCGTGCAGCAGGACATCGGCAATGCGCATGTTGCACAGTCCACACAGCAGCAGGTATTGCAAAAGGAGAGTCTGATGCCACCACAGCAGGTGCAGCTGGAACAAGCAGAGCGCGCGTCGGTGTGGCGGCTGCTGCTATCCTGGTGGGCGGAAGAGGTACTAGCAGAGTGGGCGGAGCAAGTGAGTGTGGGACCATGCTCAGGCAACCACAAGGCCAGGTATGGGGAGCCTAGGCTTTTAGCATCGTTTTAGTTGAGTCATTACTAACGAAGTGCTCATAAAAGGGTGTACACAGTTGCCTGTCAGGGTAAGACCTTGTACGCTTCCACAGGCGGACTATTGTATAGTATGGTAATTTGATAAAGGCATTGAGATAAATAGAGGATGTGAAAGTTCAGCTTGCTTGTTTGTTGGGCTGAGATAGCCCCTTAGGATCTTTGCAGAGGATAACTCTGGGTAGGAACTTTGTAATAGCGGAAGCGTTCAATGAAGAACTTGTGAACCAACCTTGCACTGGTGTGTGAGAGCAAAGTAGATTGATTATAGTAAAGATATACAAGCTTATATAATAATACAGGGAATATGAAAGGATACGGTTATAACTACTTTTACTGTTGCTGTTGCGGTTCGATACAGTGCGACTCGGGCAACTGCTCTGTAACGAGTCAGTTGTGTGTCCTTAACTGTCGCGCTGTACTTGTCAGGTCAAAGGTCAGTGACCTTTGACTTTCGCGTAACCTCCAACAACTAATTCAACCTCCGAGGGTTGACTCGCAGGTGCTTCGGTGTAGTTTGCCTCGCTTCTGGTGCAATGTTTCGACACTGCAGAAGCGCTTAAGTTTCATTGTTTCCAACACTCCCCTTCGCTTCTGGAGTGTCGCTGCTGGTGACGTGGCTCTGTCCAGTCAGCAGCATGCAGTATTCGAACTTCTGCTTTCCGAGCTTCTTGGTCAAGTAGTCGGCTGCCATCTCAGACGTGGGACAGTTCGACAGCTCGAGTCTCCCCTTCTCGATCTCGTCCTTCACGAAGAAATAGCGCAGGGCGATGTGTTTCGTCCTGTTCGCGATTGTACAGGATGTCGCTGTACACCTTTTCGAGTGGCGTGTAAGCTGGTGCGCTTGGGTTGTGGTGCGATGGGAACGGTTGATGAGGTAGGTCGCCTTCTGGGCAGGTGAAGCATGTGCCGCGTACACGTTGAAGCTCTCGTCCGTCGGTCAATAGGAGTGAGTCCTTGTCGAGTACTCCTGCTCTTATTGTATTGTTTAACACTGTATTGCTTGGATGTCCCATTCTTGCGTGCCAGGTTGCTTCGTCGGCGCGGTGTCCGGGTGATCGTCGGTACAGATCTGAGTTGGAGTAGAAGCTGGCGGTGAAGTTGGGGCTGTGATGAAATTCTCGTGGTGCTGGCTGAAACTGTTGTGCAGGTGTCGGTGATGCGTCGTCGACGAAGACCGGTGCCGTTGAAGGACCAGCGACTGGTGTTGTTGTTGGTGCCGTTGTTGTCTCTGCTGCTGCCGATGATATTTCTGCTGCTGTCGATGTTGTTCCTGCTGCTGCCGATGTTGTCTCTGCTGCTACCGATGTTGTCCCTGCTGCTGCCGATGTTGTCTCTGCTGCTGCCGAGTGTTGGATTGTTGCTAATGCCCTTGTTCGCTCTGTCTCAGGAATGGTATGCGAATACAAGAAGCCGCCCGGACTGAAGTCAGGGTCAAGATCCGGAGGGTGTGTCCAGTTGGTGAAGTTGACTATGGCGTCATTGTCAGCGGTGCCGAGATCAGGAACGAAGTCTAAGACGAAGACGTTATTCTTCAGAACTGCCTTCCCGATGTAAAGGCCTCCTCTCCCGTGGTATAGCTTGAACTCCTGGGTCGTGCTGTTTGCTTCGAGGTGGATTCCCTTTGCCATCAACTGACTGACGCTTAGTAAGTTGTATCCGAGGCCTTCTGCGATTAAGACCTTGGACATTTGTAGTACGACGTTTGTCTCCCGTGACTGAAGCTGTACGATTCCTTGTCGTCGTATGCGCAGGTTCTGATTATTAGCGACGGTGATGACGACTTCCCGTTGAAGCTGGTATTCTTGCTGCACGAAACGTCCTGAAGAACACATGTGCTGTCCGCAGCAACTGTCCAAGAACCACGTGTCTGTCCCTGATGGCTCGCTCTGGGCGATGGCGGCGTACGTCGGATTTGGTTGAAGTGCTTCGCGGCGAGGTTGAGGAAAACTGAACGAGAATGAATCGACTATGAAATGAAGTGGGTACAAATATGAAACCCTAATTGGGTTGTACCCCCTATGGGATAGCCCACTATAGCCTACAGAAATGAGTAAGCTACAATGTTCTGACACACCCCCATAGGCAAAGTGGGGGAGAACAAGGGGTCACAAGACCAGTCAAGCAAAGCAAAGCAAAGCTCAGGGTGGATCACAAAGTCACCACACATTCCGAGCACAAGTTCAAGGGCCACAAGGCCAGTTCACATGCAAGAGCATATATACTGTAAAGATATACAAGAGTCAAGCGAGCAAGGAGGATGGTCTCCTTGCCCTACGCCCACGAGCAGCAGGGATTGGCGGAGAGAACCAACAGGAGCCTCACGACAAAAATGCGAGCCCTCATGAAGCTGTCAGCTGTGCCAACCAAGAACTGGCCCTTCGCAATGGCACATGAAGTTCGACTGCACAACATGCTCTCCTCAAAGGCCCTGCCCAACAACAGCTCACCCTTCAAGGAATGGACCGGAAAACACCCTGACACCCGCATGCTGCGAGTTTTAGGGTGCATGGTACAGTACCGACCTCACAATGCCCGAACCCGAAAATTTGAAGATCGCGCTCACTGGGGCATTCACCTCAGAATCAAATCCGAACATCACGCCTGGACAATTCTGGACTTCGCCACCCACCAGCTCACGCGTTCACGTGACTGCATCTTCTACGAAAGACTGACCCTGCCACTGTACCGCCAACACCGCACTGCACAGAACGCAGCGGACAACCTCTTCGAAGGACAGCACAGCTACGCCAACGATGAGGACGATGTTGACGTGGCAGGAGAACAGCCAGACGACGCAGCAGCAGACGCAGCACCCTTCATCCCCGTTACGGAGCAGTTCGCCACTCCCACATTTTTGCCGACAGACACCGATCCCCATGAAGCACTACAAGCACAACACGATTACGCAAGTGCAGAAATGCACTCACCCATGCGCGAAGACCCAGCTCGTGACTCATCTCGCGACACTCTTCGCGACATCCCTGGTGATGACGACGACGTGGTCGAAGTTACCACCACGGCCGAATCCAACCTCACGGGCCTTCGCGTCTTCGGCCTCGCTGTCGCCGTACGGGGAAACCACCAGCTGATCGAGCCCACCACTGTTCGCCAAGCTCTCAACGGGCCCGACGCCGAGAAGTGGAGAGCCACCATGGCCGCAGAGGTCGCTGCACTACAACGTCGAGGAACCTGGAAGCTGGTACCACGCCGCCACGCAAAGGGGAGGAAGATTCTTACAGGGAAGTGGGTTTTTCGAATCAAGACTCTGGCGGACGGAACGGTCGAGAAGTTTAAGGCATGATGGGTAGTTCGCGGATTCGAGCAGACACAGTTTGTTGACTACAACCAGACCTTCGCACCTGTCGGCCGTCACACCTCGGTGCGCATTCTTCTCTGCATCGCCGCCGTCAAACAGCGTCCGCTCCGCAAAATCGACGTCTCCAACGCGTTCCTGTACGCAATCGTCGACGCCGTCATCTACGTCGAGCAACCGCATGCGTTCGAGGAAGAGGGAGACGCTATTTGCCTTCTTCAAAAGTCCCTGTACGACATCAAACAGGCACCACGCCTATGGCAGCAGCATCTTCACGGCGTTCTTATCGAGCTCGGTTTCCAGCAGCTTCCCCAAGATCAGGGGATGTATCGCCTTGAATCCCGCGGCCACTTCATCCTGCTCGTCGCCTACATCAACGACCTTCTCTACACTGACGACGACAACGACCTGCTCAACCGCTTCGAACGCGAAATTCAGGAGAAGCTGGAGGTTACGATCGACCACGAGGTCACTCAGTTCCTCGGCCTCAACATCACTCACACAGCGGACACCATTCATCTCTCCGCCGCAAAGTATGCCGAGACTCTCGCTAAGAAGTTCAGGATAGCTCCCGTCGGTGTAACCACCCCATTCCGCATTCCTCCGCCTAACCACGAGCCCGACACTACTCCGCTCTCACCGGCTGATCATCGTCTCTATCAGCAGCAGCTCGGATGTCTACTGTTCGCCGCCGTCACATGCCGACCGGACTTGTCCTACATCGCCAGCCAGCTCGCCCAGTACCTGCGCCGACCTGAAGGGGAGAACTTAGCCGACCTGCGCCGCGCCTTACAGTACTTCATCTCTACGCCTGACGTCGGACTCACTTACAAGGCTAACTTAACAGCGCCTCTACAACTCACAGGCTATGTGGACGCGGACCATGCTGGGGACATAGACAACAGGAGGTCCCGCACCGGCTTCATTTTCAAACTCGAGCCTGGAAGAACCATCTCCTGGAACTCCAACAAACAGGAGCTTATCGCCCTTTCATCAGCAGAAGCAGAATTCATCGCAGCAAGCTCGGCGGTTTGCGAAGGACTCTACCTCACGGAACTCCTGCAGGAAACGAAGACGGCGATGAATGGGTCCTTCAAGTTACTCTGCGACAACCAGAGAGCGATAAAAATCGCCAACAAGCCAGGCTTCGTCAACCGCACGAAACACATCGCCCTGCGTTACTTCTTCGTGAAGGACGAAATCGACAAAGAGAAAGTCCAGCTCACCAACTGTCCAGCTGGCGAAATGGCAGCCGACTTTCTCACGAAGAAACTGCCACGTCACAAGTTCCAGTACTGCTCGGATCTATGCGGAGTCACTCGCAAAAGCCACATGGCGCACCTCCAGGAATGAAGGGGAGTGTTGGAGTATGAAAGGAATTGTACTGGGCATTCCCGTAGGTGCAGCAGTATCGCACCCGACCTTATCGAAGCAACAACATCTGCAGTATTGGATCAGCCCATATCAAGGGCAGGAAGGTCAACAGTCGCAAGAGTCAACTGTCGCGACTGTTGACCATCTGGACCGACGTTTGACCTTACCATCAAGGAATGGCAACAGGCGTAACCGTACAGGTTACATGCAGCGACTCGGTAACAAGAAAGTAGTGCAACAGTCAGACTCACTGTAGAATTGCCTGTAAAACAGTTATAATAAAGGAA